AATTAGGAGAAAGAGTAGCAGATGATCAGCAAGAATATGGAAATTAAGGCAGAGTGACACAGAAAAAAGATGGAGTCACAGAAATTCTAACTCACTTCCTTGTGGAGAACATGGAAAAATAGACTGAGGTCCTCACTTTGAGTTAAGAAGAGACGTGGAAAACAAAAAGCTTTCATTGTAATGAGGGAAAGAAGACTGTACTCCTCCCTGTAAGTGCCATAGAGAAATACAAAAAGACATCCACCACAGAAAACAATGACATGAAAAATCCACACAGGTGCTTTGGAATTGAAGGATTGGGCATATTATAACAGTATCAGAGAAGCATCCAAATTTGCAGGCACCTACTCAAAAGGCAAACCTTTCTGAGGTTCAGATTCTTTAATATAAGTACTAATGGGATTTTCTGGCAGAAAACTGACTCAAAGAAATGAGGGTAAATGTTGACAATGTGATATTCAGTTCCGTGGCAGACCAAGCAGTTACCCATGGCCTTTGAAAAACTGTGATTATTTTTACATCAAAGTAGCACTAAGTAGAACTAAGGTTGTAATTTTCTGTGAGTCTCTGGTACCTGAGTTCTCTAGTTCCCACATTTGGCAGGACACCGAGTAAGAATGTTCTCAGTCAGTGTGCTGCATTTTGTCTGGGATTGATTTCTGATGATCAAAATGTGTCCTTTTAAAAACAGTAATTAATTTTAGCTTTGAGCTGTTGTTTTGTTTGGTTTGTGCTCTTTTAAATTTTATTTTAAATAAGATTTAAAGTGCTTCAAAATGTTACTTTTAAATAGTATTTATAATTCCACAATGGAATTACAGTTTTGAAGTAATTGTAACTGCTAGAGAAACCTGCTATGATAAGGAATAAATAAGGAAAACTGATAAGAAAAAGCCCCTGGGTAAGATTAAACTGGGTTTAAATTATGAATATTTTAATATTGGTAGCTGTCACTGGGTGGGCTGTTAATTGCTTTCTCATCACAGCTAAGCTTAGTCATCAGTTTAGTATCCCTAGGTCCTTTAAAAATTAGTTGTTTTTCACAAGTACTATAAACCAAAAATTTTAATACTGAAAAGTTTGGATCCTTGCCAGACACCCCTTCTGCAGAGAGCCTTAAAGCTGCTGACCTGGGTTTTTGTTCATTTGTTCTTGTTTTGGTGGTTTCGTTTGTTGTTTTAGTTGGATTTTTGTTATTTGTTTTGTTTTGATTTGATTTTTTTTTCCAGCAGCAGTAACTGAAAATTAAAGCAGAAGAAATTTTTCTATTATTTGGAGATCACTAACCAGGCTGTGTAACTGCTTTGGTCTGCTAATACACTATGCACAAAGATTCTCGTGTTTCCACCTGGGTGAAAGTGGAAAATCAGACAATCTGCATGGCAAACCTGAGCAAGGAGCCTTACAGATGAGAAGCATGGATGGTAAGGAATAATCTTGCTGACTCTGGAACAATTTAACTGAAAACTGTAACATTAGTGTTCTAGGAGCTAGGAAATGTGGGTGATGGAATCCTGGAACCACAACTACCAAAAGGCAATACAGTAAGCATAACTGTTAAGCAAAATAAACTTTCATCTAACCTTTTTGGATTCTTATATTATTTGACTGATATTATTCAGCAATATTATTTGAAATGTCTGCTATTTTATATTTTAGATGGGACACCAAAAGAATCAGTATATTAGCAAAATTCCAGTTAGAATGCTGCATTATACACTATTTGTGTGTGTTGTACAATACACAAGGAGATTATGTGTTGGTAAAATGTGATATAATGGCTTTACCAGCACATATGTGCTACAAGGCAAAGCCACAAAAGTATTAAATCCTTCCAAACGATGCAGTCCAGAAATATGATCCCTATGCTACACTATCAACTCTTCTACTGCACTATCAACTGTTATCTGTACCCCACATATTAAGAAAGTATTTGCCAGAAATCTTTATGGAGGACTGGAAACAACTACATTGAAAACCTGAACAAGAAATAAAAGATGAAGAGATGAGAACAGTACAGATTGGTAGGAACAGGACAGAAGGAATCTGCCTGGGGTATAGGCAAAAAATGTGTATTTCCCTCCATAGCTTGGGGCAGGAGCCAAGGTTACTGATCCTCACTACCCTTCTGCTGTCAGAAAATATATATAAAACATACCAGCAATGTTCCCCACCTCCTCCTGGTGCCCACCCATGCAGACCACTAAACCTTCCTACTGCTGTTTGCTATGACAGCAGTCCAGGTGACCTGTATAGCAGATACCAAAAGTTTCCATGGTGGCTGGTGGCCTGACAGACAGCCAGTAGTATCCCATACTGTGGAATGGTTTCTTACAGGCTTGCTCATTTTAGAAACAAGGAAATTATACTCCCAGACTCACACACAGAAATATAACAGATGTAAACGAAATTCTTCACAGTTCAAAAATTTCAAAATCAAATTCACTTATGTAGCTTTGGTTTAGCTGCTTTGTGCATACTCGTTACATTTACATGATCACATCTTCTTCCCTCTTAAGCAGAGAACAAGAGCATAAATGAGAGCTCTATAAAGGATGCTGCCTTCCATAGGACTCCTACTTCCCTGCTTTCAAATATATGTGAGATATGCTAAGATGGTTTATTTCTGTCTCTGTACCAACTTCACAGGATGTAGAGACAGAGGACAATAAAAATATAAATGTGATGGAGGCTGGAGATGGGCTGATCAGACAAGGAGCCTGAGATAGGGAATAATGTAGAAAAAATTATGAAAAACAGGGCAGAGCAAATGGGCCAAGTGGAAGCTGGGACTTTTGGGGTAGGAGAATGGACGTCTGGCTGTTCTGAAACACTGGACTCTGTCCCACTTTTTAGAGTTCATCCCTTTTCACAAAGGGTCAATCACTCAGCATGTAGATTTGCTGAATTCCCACAGCTCCAAGCAAATTCAAGGGAACTCGGCTTTGAGCCTATGCAGTTCTCTACAATGTGAAGAATTAACAAAGTAAGCCCTGAAAGCATCCAACTGAGCAATCAAAATTATATGCCTAATTTTTCTGGCTTTAAAATGGGGATAATACCAACACCGACTTATGTCAGAGTATAACTGAAGATGAAAATAAATTAATTCTTTTAGAACTGAGATAAATTAATTAGGAAACATGCAATGGTAGTGACAAAAGCGTGAGTGAATTAGTAGTTACATCTTCAGAGTGCAGTTTGAGAAAACTGCAGTGAATAACAGACAGGGCCTCACATGGGATAATGAGGAAAAAAGAAGAAACTCTGCAGTAGCTTAGGCAGTGGTTACTGTCTACCCTGTGCAATGATTTACTGTTATCCTGTGGAAAAATACAGGATCAGAAAATGAAGGGTTGCCATATAATGCAAATGCAAAAGTGAACTGAGTTAAGTAAGCCTGATGAAAATTCTGGTATTTTCAAACTTAGAAGAGTTTTATGTGTTCAATAGGTATAATGATAACTGTTAAATTAATAATTTATACTAAATGCTAATAAAGAATAGATGCTAAACCTAAAAATATATCTTTAAATTAATCATGTTCTCTTTGCTTAGGCAAAATTTGAAATAGGTAAAGAGAATGGCATGAGACAAAATGAGGTCTCAAATCTAAGTGTGTTTTTTTTTTTCTTCATGGTCTCTACTAGATAGGTTTGATGTTTGAGGAAGGAAGAGAAGATGGGGTAATTCAAAAAGACAAGTAGAAACTTTATAAAGGGTTAAAGCAGCAAACTATGCGCTTAAAATATTCATGCTGCCTCAAGAGTTTTATCTATGTTTTGTTTATGTATTTACATTTCCTCAAATTTCTACCACTTGACCCATCACAACGCAAAATCCAGGTCTGAATCTGAGTTTCTCTGGGGTGTGCATATGTTTCTCTGCTTATACTTAAATATTTTCCCTGATCTCATTTACATCCCCTTTTGCATATCCCATAGCCTTCTGGCAGCATACACCAGCATGACCTTAGCTAATAATTTCAAAACATTATTTTTGACTGTGTGGGAAGGAAACTAAATTTTGCACATATTGTTTACATCTAGCAACTAGGACAGCTAAGACTAGAGAGCAATCTTATTCCAGCAGTTTTCTCATGCTTGCTTTCTAATTTTTTCCATGGTTTACATCAAGATTTGTTTTGGGTTTTTTTTCATGAGGGTATCTAGTGAACTCAAGAAATGCTATTTGAGGTACTCGTGTACTTCTTAGCATGGCAGCATAAGCTATCCATTCATACTTTTTCTACTCAATTTTCCTTATTTCTTGTGAACATCATTCCATGTTAACCAAAGTACCAACACAGGAGTACCACTATCTCACAGCACTAAGAAATGCTATAGCTCTTTCACACAGAGAGTTGCAGTAGAGTATATGGTGCAGGAAGACAGAGCAAGGCTAAATCTCATGATTCTCTAACATTCATTGTTCACAACGGTTAGTCCAAAGAACTGAAAGGAATTGTAAAGAATTAATTTTAGGTAGGGGAATGACTAAGTAAACACTGAAAAACATAGTCAAATGAGAAAATGCATTAGACTGATAGCAATGATACGAACCTGGTGAAAATTATGCAAGCGTTTGAGAAAAAAAATTTGTTTTCTCTTCCCTCCAATCTGCATCTGAGAAACTACAGCGCTTTACTGCTTGTGTAATCAGAAGTGTTTCATCAGTCTAATTGTATGAGAATTTTCTGTTCTAACTACCAAACCGAAGTTCAGAAAAAAAACGAATAGGAATTCAAACTTTTAGATGAAATTCTGGAAGTTCTGACTTTTCTCCATCCCTATATCTAGTGAATACACAAAAGGAAATGCTATTTCAACAGACTTATGTATAGAGCCCCCCTGTATGGAATTTCTTTAAAAAACTTCAATGTATGTTCAGCCCCTTCTGCAGCAGCTCTCCAGACGGCATTTCTAATTTCTGATACAACTATACACAATTTTCAGTAAAATAAATATTTATAAAGAAAATATTTTTTCTTTATATCTTACTTGAGTTCTTGTGAGCTTGTGGCCAGCATACTTCGAATGCTTTTGTCAGCCAAGGGACAGCCAGATAAACTGTAAGACATGGCAGGACATACAAGTATGTTAATCTTCTCATTAGCTGAACACTCCCAAACAAACACAACATAAAAATTAAAAAGTAAAAGTTTGTAATGCAGAAAAGCGATGGGGCAAGTGCTGTAATATTGAATTCTGTAATATAGTTAACCCTCTGAATATATTTAGTTATCAACGTTACTTCCAAAATTACATACTGTAAATGGTCTTGTTTGTTTGTTTGTTTCTCTATGAACTAGAAAAATATAACAAAAATATTTGAGATTCCTGGGTTAACTACTTAAATGCTTAAGAGTACTTTGGAAATTTTAGTAATCTATTTAAAAATAAAAGACGTTTATACAACACACAAATTAGCATGCTTTTAAGATCAACATATATTACTCAAAGGGTTAACACATAGTTCAACGTTTTACTTTGACAGCATTGTTGAGGTAAGCTGAAAACAATAAATTGAAAAGACAGAATCCACCATGAAAAAAATGAAGTCACACCTTCTATGTGAGGCGTAATTACCAGTCACATGACCACTCCCATCACACCCTGGTGTTGGACATCTGCCACCAAACAAAAACAAAAACAGCCAAAATAGTAAGTATGTTTAAAAAAAAACTTTTAAAAGTTTCATTGTTTCCAGTTTAGCTGCAATGACTGCAAGGGGTTTTAAGCATCCTAATCGAAAAGCTGCAAAATGAACCGGTTTAAATGAAAATGGCGTCTCAATACAATATAGCATCATTAAGAACAAGCAAATACACATTAGCTTATCACTTTACTTAACTGGCAGTTTGAAACATTTATATGCTGCAAATGTTGCATGCTCATACTGCAAGGCGTATATGTATTCGTTGGTTTAAAAAAAGACAAAGAGAGAAAAGGTTAAAAGGAGAAAAATAATTTCACCTCACATTATGCTTACGTTATTAAATCCTTTTTGCTCTCTTTGCATTGAGGGTATTTGGGTTTAGGACTTGGGATTGTAACTTCACCAGGATACCTTCTTTCTTCAAGTGCCTCTTGGAAAGGATCCAAATCTTCTGGCTATAGGCAAATATATACACATTAATTTCAGCTAGATGAGGTCACAACTTACATAAAATAATGCAAAGTAGAGTCATCAGATGGTATCTCCTTCTTATACCATTCTGACAGAGAAAATTAGAAATTATTTTATATTATTTCACTTATGAAACTTTTGAATTATATTTGAATATTTTGATGAAGACTTCACAATATGTGAGCTATATATTTTATTTAACTAGAAAAGAAAAAATAAGGAAAAAACCCAGCTTTTTTTATAGTTGTCATATTATTTTGCTCTAAAAGACTGCTTTTTTTCCCTAAAGTCACCACAAAAGAGTGGAAAGGCAAAATAGATGACTGAATACAGTATCTTACGCATCAAAAAGCCGCCTTAAATAGCATTTTTAAGGACTTAGATAATCTCAGAGATGAAAGAGGAGCAATCTTAACATTTACACACAGAATCTCAATCTGGGACAAATCTCAACGGATCTGTCTGGCAAAATAGAATGATATAATTTGTAATTTACTTTCCTGATGTATTCATAAATTCAACCCTATCTATTTCAGGATTGTAGTGACTGAATGCAGGGATTCAGTGATTCCTGCAGATGGTGCTATGAACACCACAGTAGAAATAGGCAGTTCTGCTTGCTCTGAAAGAATCTGCTGCTTTACCTCACATTTCCTTGGCAGTGACAGATTTCCTGCCAAGTTCAATGAAATGAATAGCAAAACCATAAGTATCACCAAAGCTAGGATGCATTGAGGGTATCTAGTGAAAATGCCACTGTGTTGTATATTTCAAGGATACTGAAAACAGTTTTACATTTTAATTAAAATTGGCAAGAGATGTGCTACACACAAATGATTAGCCTGATTTTCTGTTATAAGCCAAGAAAAATCAATCTATAGAAGTCTTCAAACAGCTAAATTGAATTGAGGGCAGGATTTTAAGCTGCATCATGGATAAGGGTTAAAACCTGATGGAGAAAAGCAGTGGCACTGAACCTTGTCAGCAGACCTCTTCAGTGCCCTGTCTATACTTCATTTCGAAGAGTAATACAAATTCACTAGCATATTTTCTTTATTTGACTCTTCTGTTTAAAGGGTTTTGCTGTTGTGTTGGTATTATGAATAGAAAAGTAACATTGATTTCTAATATTCCTTCACTGCATTCTTGAAAGAAGGTATTTCATTACTACAGGCCCTTACACTTAGGGTTATCAAGAGCATGTAAGAACCCCAGAAGATTAGCTGAAAGAGTTGAAATTTTACATTATCCTCTGCTGCTTTTGTTTAAATTGATTTCTAAGTAACACATGCCTTCAAATACTCAGCACATCATTTATGGTTTTCAAATTCAGAAGAATATCTTGTCTTCAGAGACGATTATCCCGGTATTGCGCGGTTATGTCAACTTGCTTTTACAAAGTAACGTAATCTAGATATAGCAAAACGTCTTTACTGCAGAAAATATTTGTTAACAATCATGTTAGAAAACATGATTCACATTCATGGGTCAAATGTTGTCTATGGAATTTAGTCACAGATCAGATGTGTGCCAGCATGATACAGTCCTAAAGATTAACCAGCAGAAAGTCCTTTTTGTAGAAAACCACCAGTTTTATCACATATTAATTTTGTTTCCTATTTCTCTCAAAATTTTAGAAAATTATTGAATTGCCAAAATTAGACTGCAACAAGAACTAATAGATGAAAAAGACATACATTAATCTCTTTGGAATCATCTTCATCTATCCTACTTGGCTTCATTTTAGTGTAGTCCACTGGCAAGTCCCAGCAGTCACCCTCGTTCAGTTGGTAACACCGGTTATTCATCACGGCTTGCCGCTGTGGGGACATGGGCTCCAGTGGTGTCAAAATGGTACAGCAACCATCTCGCTGCCTCTGCTTGTTCATGCTCAGATCCAACGTCCCATTTTCATCGACTTCCATATCAGGATTCTGTCAAAATAAGAAAAATATTGTTAATTCGGCTTCAGCAAACTGCTACCTCTTCTTCAATCTGATTGCCTTGCAGAGTGATAAAATGCTTTTCCATTCCTGTATGGATTGTAAGCATTGAGCCCCCTCCTACACATAGCATGATGCTGTTACACAACATTAATGCTGTTAAAGTAGATTTCTTCCTGAATGGCTGATATGATGGTTTGGGGGAAAACGGGAGTGTCTTCAGTACCCCTCCTGTCACCCAGCACATAGGTGCAAAATCTCTTATATAAAGGAGAAATCTCTAAAGGTATTTTCTTGCCGTCAGTTTTATATTCTTGATTTATTATGTTACAGGTGAGTACCTATGAGGCAACATCTGCATAATTCTTGTTCTTAGTCCTGACATCTGTCTGGGTGATTGGAGTAACAAAAACCAGCTAGCATCAAATAATCTTTGTTTCTTTCTTTACTTAACATTACCAGTCAATGCTTGAACAGATAATGTCAGAAAATTGAACAGGAAGGGAGGGTACCAAAATAAGTCCTTTTAGACACTATTTGCCAATGAGGAAATGCATTCAAATTTCACAGCTCTTTCCCTGCAGATGAACACGTACTAACATGTCATAAATCTATCTTGATAATAATTTGTGCCAATTTCTGTGACAACTGAGGTACTGTGAAAAATGGGGCAAGTATGGGCTCTGACTTTTTCTTTTGAAGAAATGAACAAGGGTTGTCTATTATATTAGCTGAGGAGAAGTAAGACTCTTAAAATGAACACAAAACAAAAAAATTGAAGGCAGATAAAATAAAAATGCCAACAAAGAATCCCTTATCCTTTCAAAAATGAAATGTTCCATGAGGTATTTGGTTTCAAAACTAATGTGAATGTGACCAACTCCTTGTATGCCTGGTGACTTTCCCTCCTCTTTAGTAATAACAGTGCTGCAAGAAAGTACCGTGAATGCAAATCTCTTTGAATTACTGCCTTTTGTCAGAGCTTATATCTAATTGCTACTATCCTGCCAATTTAATTTAGAAAATACTTGTTTTTCTTCTCAGATTCATTCCTTCAGTTTCGATATAAAGTGATGCATTAGGAAAGAGGTCCTTTCTGGTTTGGACACAGAAAATTTTTAGCATTTTATTCCAACTTCTCCCATCATGTTGATATAGAGGACAATTGCATTTATTTATATGTGAGAAAGAGGTTTCCCTCTTGAACTGTATTAAATAAATTAATGTAAAAAGCAGCATTTGAAAACTAAATTGCTGACCATTCTGGCTTAAGTCATGATTATTACTAACATCTACTGCTACAGGTTTAATTTGTTATGAATGATTGAGGGGCTTTACACGATAAAGGGAAGCAAACCTTTGCTAAATGCAGAGGAACAGAACATGTCTGCCAGCTCGAAAGCTCCCTACAAGCGCAATAAAAATGTTTCCTCTGCACTGCATCTGTCTGCTCAGCCATCTAGTGGTCTCCTGTAGGCAACACTGTACTGTTTGCTTGTGCATGTTAAATACTTCTGTCTGAACAGCTATCAGAGCCAGAACTTAGAAGTTTATAATGAAAAAAATTATCTCCCAAATATTCAATGAATGTTAATACAGTACTGTTTTTTCTTAATACAGAAAGCTTAGTGACAAAAGCTTTTATTTGTATCTGTACAGCCATTTTATAACATATTGAGGCTCTATGAACAGACATTAGTGACCCTGCAATACTGTTAAGCACATTTAAAGTCACCTGCACCAGAGGATTTGTTCATTTCAAATGTATTATGCAGTGACTTAAGAACTGTGATATTGCAAACAGGCAAGAAATTGTAGCATACAGTAGCATAGATTTCTTTGTACTAAATCATACAATCTTAGGTCCCATTTGTGACTTTTAAATGAAAATACAGAGTTAAATCCTAATTCCTTCACAAAATCTATCAATCGATTTTTTTTTAACAAAAAAAAAAATCAGTAGTGCAATCAATACCATTTGAGCAATCCAAACATATTTTATAATTAGAGTAAGAGAGAAATCAAAAAAAGGAGTACATGCTATTAGTATCATCCTTTTATAAAACCATGGGATTTCCTGGGATACTTGTGAGCAATTTCTATCTTTCTTTTTTTTTTACCTCCTTGCTTTAGCAGAGCCACCAGAATATGCTAATTTTGAGGGGAAAAAAAAAAGGCAAGATGTATTAAAGCTATTCTCTCTATCAGGGCCACAGAGCAAGTACAGTTAAGATAAATCTTCATCAACAAACAGAATTACTAATTTTTACCCTTGCACAGAGATCCTGAGGCTTAGTGGAGAGGTTCTGAGGCATCTCCCTGCAGCGAGTGGAGAGATTCAGAATAGCAGTAGCAGCCATGTGCGCTGCCTCCATGTCATGAGTATAGTCAAAGCTGCTCTTGCTGCAGGTACTGCTGGCACTGCTGCCTCCACCACAACTCATATTGCTGCTGCTGCTAGGGGCATAACTGCTTGTTGTGCTGCTGGTTGGACTTGAATTCTTACAGTAGCGTTTAGCTGTGGGAAGAAATATGACAAGGATGACTCAAAAGAAGGAGCATTCTGCATAAGTGAAGAGAAAAACAAACTGCTGGAGGTGAAATTTATAATGAGGAACAGTAACCAACGCCAAAAAAAAAAAAAAAAGCCCGCAATAAGAATGATGGCTGTATTTCTTGATTTCTGTCTGTGAGTTTTATATGCTACATGTGTAAACTTGTATGAAATAACCTCCTGTAAAAATCTGCATGATGTGACCATGAATCGTTCTGACAAACAGGCTGGATTTAGATAAAAATAAAGACACAGAAACACTGCTTTTACCCCACATATATAGTCAGACATAAGGTACGATCTGCTCGGCTCATTTATTTTTATTAATGACAGGCAACGTAATACTACAGGACTTTTTCCTATTTACATGAGCAAACTGTTAATTTAAGGCCTAGACTCCCTAAAGCTACTGGACATCAAGCCCACGATAAGGCTGATGGGCTTGGCCTCTGGGCTACAGTTCCACCCATATATTCTCAAACACTCCACGCTTCCTAAAAGCTTTTTTTCTCCTATGTCACAGGCAAGTCTTATGGCTATGGTCATCACAAAGGAAAGGAGCACTAAAGAAAAAAAAGGTCATTGTCACGTGTGAGTTTTACCATGACTTGCACAAAGGCAGAAGCAGTGGCTGTTTAAATGGTAACAGGGACAAAGTGAAACATCTCCCCCCTTCAAACAACCCAAGCACCTACAACTCTTGATAAAAACAGTCAGGATCAAAACACCCCTTCCTGCTCACACTGAGGGCAGTGATGCCCAGCTGTACTCCGACTAACAGAAGTTGCAGGCGGTCACAGGAGAGCCAAGGCACTGACAATGCTCAAGTCCAGCCTATCTAAATACAAGGCAGCATCGTTGCTGCTTTTAAGTAATGCTCTTTGCAGCCAAAGATATTATAGCAACAACAGAAAACAGCCCTATTAGCCCACTTATTTCTCCAACCCTCTTCCCAAATGAACTGTTTTAAAAGTGTTCATAAAAAATGCAAGAAAGTATGAGCTCATCTCCAAGATCTAAAAGTTTATGTATTTTCATTAAAAAATAAAAGTCAAGGTCAGAGGATACATACATGCATATTACAGCAACTATTTCCCCTTAAGATGTAAATGCATACTGCAAAGATCGTACCTTATAGCACAGTGTAACAATAACCAACTAGCATGCTGATTAGAGAGCTTTACAAAAAAGGTCAGGCCTTAGCTAAAGCTTTTCTGTGATGGGCTCCATTTAAATGCCAGGCTCTTCAGTTGTATTTGTCGGAGCAGACATACATATAATAATCTGCTCCCATGAGCACAGCCCATTTGTGAACCACAGGCTGCTTTGGTAGGCAGGCAGGGTTCAAAAGAAGAATGTGAAAGCAAAATGTCTCTGCTAGAGTTTATGTCATTCTCCTTTCTCTAAAAAACTGAAAAAAAAAATCATGGTGTTATTTTTACTGCAAAGGAAATAGTATTTCACTGAAATGGTAACAGATGGAGTTTTCTCAGGAAAGCCACATAATGCACAAGGTGTGATTTTTTTTTTTTTTAATGAAGTGAATGCTAAACATTCATTACATTTCTTTGTTTTGAACACATAGTAGCACTACTGTAGCAGGGTATCCACTAATAATAAATTTGTGAACTGTTTCTCAAGAGTTTAATTATTAATGTAGTAGTCAGTGGTGGTTTGAGTAAAAAATCAGCATTTATCCATTGTTACTTTGTTATAGTATCCAAGACACGAGAACTTTCTTATACTTCAGGAAGGAAATAACTGAGTAATTCAGTTTCTACTGTGTTAACACAGCAAGCACCCTGTACCACTTGTCAAATTAGAACTTGTCAAATTAGAAATTTTCAAAATACATATGTACAGATAAGACTTTTGTCATTTGCAAAAAAATGTTAGTCTTGTTATAGTAGGTCACATTTAGACAGACATAAGAGACATACTAAATGAGAAATTATATATATCTATATGAGAATGTGTGCTAAAGAAAGGGAGGGGAAGAGGCAGCTTTATACATAGAACTAACCATCAAAACCTCACACAGGCTCTGATATGGACTCCTCTGTGGCCTTGGTCAAACTATAATACTCCTCAAATTCATTTTCCCGATGAATAGAAAGTTGCTCCTAAAATTTAGTTGTGTTGCGATTCAATTGCAAAACACTTTGAAGATGTGAAGTGCTATAAGCATGCTACACAATTATTAGCTTTCAGATGACCAATAATTTAAGCAAAACTTAAAGAGAAAAGGCCATGGTTATTTTAACTTTACTGTAGTTGTACATTTGAAGATGAGTCACATAACCCAGACCGTTCATTTCACATTAGCTTTTTAGGAGAAACAAAGATCATCAATTTGTAATTAACTAAATCATGTTCTTTGCTAATACAGGGAAAACTGCATTGTTTCAATAACAGATAATTCTGCTTGATACATTGCCCACCCATGAGGCACCAGGTTTTGGAAGCTCTGCAGTCCACCCATGCTTTGTGATCCAGAGTGAAACAAAATGTGGAGAACATCTTTCCCAATAAATAACAGACACAGGTCTAACCAGCTGCATGCCCAAACTGCTCTTCCATCAGACATCCCTGGGGGCTGATTACAAAGTCTACAGGCTTCTTCTACTAATTAACAACCGAGGAGTGGGAGAGATCCCAAATACATAAAAGCCCAAAGGAAGATATTTGGAATGGAATTCAATTCTGCCCAAGCATCTCCATCCCCAATGTTGTCTAAATACTGAATGTATTATGTAAATTAATTAAAGTTTCAACACTTTTTCTGACCTGCACAATAAAAGATTCATCTCACCTACCTTCAGATATCTTACCTACTCATTATAGGCTTCCTATGAAGGCAGTGGAAAAAAATAGGAACTTTCAGGCAATGATTCACCTCCTTCTGAGCACTTCAGAAGGACATGAATTGAATCAGAGAAGCGTCTACCCTTCTTCTTGAATGCAAAAGGGATGCCAAGCTTAGACGTACGTGCTGACATAATAAAAGCCTAGATATGGTCAGATAAATCTCAATCGCAACATATTCCCAGTGTTTTGACAAAAGGATCCAGGCCTACTAGTGGAATGAGAGGAACTCCTGCCATCACCTGAGCAACTGAAGGTTTTGCCATCACCTCTGTCTGCTGTGTCCAGCTGTTCTTATCTTTACTGCTGTATACCATAAGCCCAACATCCAATACACTATGAAACTGGTTTCAAAGGAAAAACAAGCCCACAAATACAAGATTTCTCAAGAATTATCAGATCATTCTACCCAACCAAAAGTTGGTTGGGTTTACATTTTCTGTTTTTTAGTAAAACTTACTGGAAAAAAATAACAAGGAAACAATCCAAAGGAGCTATTTATGTTCATGTCACTCATCATATATTTACTGAACATATAATCCCTTTCTCTGATGATGAAAATACAGCACTAGCTGACAATTAAAAAAGGACTGAGATACAAAGCTACTGATTTTTCATATTCTTGGACTATTTGTCTCATATAGTCAGAACTAAAGCACTGTTTACCTGCACATTCCCCACAAAATCTTAGGCTTACTTTCAGGTTTTTCAGAACTAAATCTGCTTTTATATAAACATGTTTTGCTGATATACATAACAGGTATGCACTCTGCACCTCCATAATGGCTATAGTAGCAATAATTATTTTTTTATACACAAATATAAAATCACTTCTAAATACTGTAAAGTTTCTTGAGGAAAAGTGGCTCTTTTAAGTGAAGAGGCTCTTCCTGAAATCTCCTTCATATTCAGTTATTTACAATAACTGTCAGCAAAATCCTTGATCCATTCAAAGTCAGGGCCAAAACTTTGACTAATTTCATTGTGCTTAGGATTTCATTTCATCATTCTAAGAATTCAACTGATTTTCCTGAGCCAATTTAAGGCAAATATGATGGAGTACTCACAAAATTCCAGAGAGATGGGAATCCTAAAGATTTGATGAAAATCACTAATAGCGTACAAAGAAAAACAGAATAGGGCCCCACCTCTGGGACCACATTGGCAGGTCTGTCTGGCCAAACAGTGCACACACCACTTGGAACCAGGTACAGTGTGTGTTGCCTCCTGCAGAGCCAGGAATATGGAACAAATCCATATGGAATTAGCCTTTGTGGGGCAAACAACCTGCTGCAGCTTAAATGGGCTTCAGTTGTTCTGAGCACACAAGAGCCCCTTATACTTGCTACATCAGCAAGAATACTGTATGTACAAATCACATATATAGAGTGTCCCTCAGTCCTCTCTGGCTCACATTACCAAGCAGTGAAGCAACTGAGTCTTGGTCTTATAGCTAAGTAAAATTCCTGTTTATATCAAAGGAAGATAAGTGTGGATAAAGAAAGTGACCCCTACCCCTATGTGCTTTTACTATTTAAGGCCACTGTTAAACTTTTGCTTAATGTTACATGGATTTTTAAATTCTGGTGATTTTGGAAAAAAAGTGGAGTTTGTTATTATTTGCTGAAGAAGAAGCCTTAAACGAGAAAAATATGTATCAGTTGCCTAAGTATCACTAATTTGATCTAAAAATAAGCTTTTTCACAGGATCCCCAACAATACTCTGATTCTTTCCTTTCTACAAGAGTAGATAGAATATATACACAACATTCAATATCTCATTTATCTTATATTAATGTATACTCATTACCTTCCTTACTCATTACCTTCCTAACCACAGTCAGAGTCAGTGCTATACCTTTAATCCCATTATGATACAGACATATAAGATGAAGGTATGAGAGAAGAAAAAAAAAGGCACTTTTACTAAAAAGTAGTTTGCCTTTCACGAGCCTTCTCCTTTCTGCTATAGTTCAAGAACATGCCTGTTGATTATATAAGAAAGCAAAATATCCAAAATATCAGACATGTGAAGGCATGTACATTCAGTACTTTTGAATATCAGAGTCTGTGTTCAGGCAACAACAGAAATTGTTGCGTATAGTATATTTCTTTCTGTGTTTCTAAACAAAAATCTGACACCTGCCTGAAATTTCTTATGGCAGTCAGTGAATGGTATCAAATTTTTTAACTGAAAAAACAAACAAACAAAAATTGCTAGCATTCAAAAAAAAAAAAGAGATAAAGTCACAGTTTACTTTTATATATATATACACACACATATAATATATATGCATATATAAATGTATTGCTTGAAAAATTCCTGATGTCCTCAAAAGCTACAATTCAAATCCTCCTTCTTTATCCTACTGTTCATTTTTCTCCCCTAATAAAAATCCTTTTGCCTGACTGACCCCATCCATTGCCTTATCCTGAACTGAAGCAAATTTCACCCTACTCCTATACATGTTACTTATGTTAGGTTTTCAGTGAATCCAACTGTTGTATTTATGAGGAAAAAATAAGCAGAAATGCCTCATTAAGTAAGTAGTAGTGATTTCTGAAATGCAATGAGACCCAGGTCTTCTACTTCCATATCCCCATAGAGCAAGTATGTTATCTTTATGGGTTACCTGAACTACTGTACAGAGGCGAAAATCCTGATGTGGCCCTTGAGGCCAGGACTCCCAAAGAGCAACATAAGGACTCTATTACTTAGTTTTTATTGCCATCTCAATACATCCCAGGAGCTTAATAGCTGGAGATGTTCTTTTGCCAGTGCAACAATTCTGAAGCAAGCACCGTATAAAACATCACTTTTTAAAAAAGGCCTTTAAAATAACTTACACATGACAGCATTCCTCATAATACTGTATGAACATGAAAACATGTCTTATTTGTATGATGTTTACATATACAACAACATGATTAACTGCAAACTTGTCTCTCATGTATAAGAGTGTGCACCTCCTACCATCATATCCTTTGGGGGATATATCCCTGGATTGCACCTTGGGAGCTATGGCTCTCTTGCCATAGGCATGGTTGTCATAACTGTTATATTCAAACGAAGTCTTAGAGTATTTCTCTAGTTCCTTGGCCAAGTTGGAGCGGGGTGTGGTGGTGGGGACATTGTTTCTGTAGCCATACTGAGGGATCTCCAACTGCTTAACAAAGCACATGGGCCTAGAAATTAAAGATATGTACAGTTTGTTAGATGCAGTTCAGTTTACTATGTCTGTGCATAATTTATAGTTCAGATTAGAAAATCTTAGTTATTTCTTGTACTCAAGAGACAGCAATATATTATTGCATTTCCTTAGTTTGGTTATTTTCAGCAGACAAACAATAAATATTTTCTTGAACAATGCCTAAACAAAATTAATTCCAATACCACTAAATGTTTCCTGCAGCTAAACTTCAGGGTTTCCCTTTCCCCATGGAATTGCATCACACAGAAAACATTTTTTCTTTTGGGAGGTGAATTAAAGAGGGCCAAGCAGACTGACAGAAGAAGTTTGGACAAATTCCTTTAAATGTCAGAAAGAAAAAATAGAACTGGAAGCTCCACTTAATTAATGGGGTTTCCTCTGAACTTCTTTTAACTTTCAACAGAGTTGTATGATGTTTTCCTGTGTGCTTTCAAAAGGAACTAGTCCTGTTTCTTCCCTCAATATAAAAATCCATGTTCATCTTGAGAAATACACAGGAGAGTCTCACAAGCTCTGCTGACTCTGAGCTGCTGCCTTGCAGGTCCTGCTCACCCTTAAATGCAAGGTTCTGGTAGGAGCTGCGATTCCTGATACACAGATGCACACCTCAAGGAAGGTCCTGAGAATGAATACAGAATAAAACTGCTTCAATTTAATATCTCTTCCATTTAAGATGAGAGAGGACAGTCAAGAAAAGCCCTGACTGATGTCACTCAGCAGTTGGAGAAACTCATGAAATCTCAGTGAAAGAATGCTGTAGTGAACTCCACAGACACGTTTCTTCTGCATGTGGACATCAGTTCTCAAAGCAGGCATACGAAGGTCAGATCCTGCAAACCCTACCTACGTAAGAAAATGTTGTATGACTGGGTCATAGGAAGTAACTGCTACACAGTGCTGCATGTCTACCTACTGCATTTAGCAGAAGGTGAAGATGATGAGCAGCACACCTGAGGTGCTTCTGCTGGAATCAAGAATCATATAATCAAGCCTTTTTAATATTTTTTCTTCTTTACTGCATTTATAACAGTCATAGGATCATAAATTCAGTTGAGACCGGAAGTATCATCATGCTGACTGACAAAATGAAATGTGATAAATAGTAAGAAATAGATTTGGAATATTGTATCATGTTTTTTGTGAATGAATTCATTTTCATAGAATTTAATCAGGATATTTATGTAAAGATCACCCAAGAAATCATATTAGTCATACTACTCCCTTTGATTTATGTATGCTCATTCCTGTAGACACTTCTTCCTCACAAAATACAGTGGGCTTATTTATACAATGAGCTGATATGAATAACAGTTTGATCCTGTCTCAAGATAATCTACATTTAGCTAAAAGACGTGCAATTCAGATCCTGTACAGTCAATGAAAATCCAAAATCTCAGCGGAACAGAAGATGTGTGATTTCTTTTCAAGTAAGAACTTTCAAATGCAGGTGGGATGGAAACTGGGATGAAGACAAATATTCAAGATTTACTCTTAAAACATCTCTGTCTGCCCATCAATTGCCTGCATGCAAATATTATAAATAGCTGCCAAGTTCTTCATCTTAAATACTTCAATGAATTCAAGGTAAAAGGGAAGCAGGAGACAAGATGAAAAGCATTATCTGAGTTGCCTATAAAACCTGAAACACAAGGCAGCTCAGAAGCAAAGTTAAGATTGCAGAATAACTTCCTAGGGAGCTTACCAGCAAACAAGATGTTGCTTTTGAGCAGTTGTCTTCTTTCTATGGCAAGTGACTTCAGTGGCTTCCCTGTAATGAGCAGTGGTAAAAGCCACTGCATTTTTGATCTGTCTTTTTCTATCAAGTGAGAAACTGTTTTATTGCCTCCAAGAGTGGTTTTATTTTTTTTTAAATAATCAGATTTGAAGAATCTTTCTCTAAGAAGCCTATCTGGGATGTTGAATGCTGAGCTGCACAAAACTGAAATAGGGCAGTTAAGATAAAGCCCACCAAAAACAATCCAAGGAAGGAAAGCAAAGTCAGTAGGAATGACAAAAAGTCTTCTTAGATGTGAACTGTAATTCTATGATCTCAGCTCTATTGAACGACTGATTTTTGACAAGATCATCAAGATCAGATGAACTTTTAGGACAATATCAATAGAATGATGTTGATAATACAGTAGAAAAATTTCTTTTTAAGCAGCCCTATCAGTTTTAAAATCTAGAAGACAGTTAAATACTATGAAATCTATGGGATAAATGGGAAATTTTGGGAACTAAAGCTGCAGCACTTCCTCCACGCTCTTTGAGGCAGCTGGGAAGGATGTATCTATCCTAGCCCACAGCTATTGCAGTATCCATGGAGAAATTCTGCAGCTCTTGGGGCATCATCAGCATAAGGCTGGTACACTCATGCAGAAGTTTTGTTCCTTTACATGTATCCTTAACACTTCAGCTCCTTAGAAATAATATTTTTTCTACCCACATATCTCAAAAGAGGAGACAATAGCACAAAGCTGGGTACAGTTTTGTGTAAATGCAGAATCACATATGGATGAAGAAAAGGAGTATAATCCTATAAAACTGGTTCAAGGTCCTTACCATATGAAAATTTAGGACAATTTTTCTCTCTTTCTGTCCTTCCTGGCAGAGAGCAGGGAACAGAGACAAAGAACTAAGCCTGGCATTATGATGGAATCTAAGCTATACCTGTCATTTTTCCAAGTGTCCTGACAAAAGGTGTACTCCCAGTCTGGTAATGCACATAGGGCTTCTGGTTTAATTTAAACTGATATTTACTAGTAAAAGCCTGCTGAAAAAACCAAGACTTACCGGTAAATATTAGTTTATTCCCAAAAGATACCAACTTTTTTCACACTGTTCTTAGACTTTGCACTCCAGCAGTCATCTTTACACCAAACAATGCCTAAGACAAAAATGAGCTTTTCAGCTTTACATGTATTTGCCAAAATAATTACCAACCCTCCCCCATGAAAATTGAGTGGGAAAAATACACTGTGAGAATTGGATCCAGAAGCCCTAATTCTAACTCTTCTTTAAAGGAGATATATATGTATATACAACGTATATAAATATAAATTCTCAGATTAGGTGAATGTGTGATGAATTCTGCATAATAATAAGTATTATAGTGATTTCTAATACCTTAAAACCCGATCTGATGCCTGGTTTGATTTTGACACATCACAGTTCTGATGCTTCTCTTGAGCTTTAGCCAGTTTCTCTGCTGCAGCAATAGGACATCCAGAGAGGCTGCAATTACAGAAAGGAAATTTAATTGTCTTGTCCTGCATAGTTTCACATTATAGCACTGATCCAATTACTCCTTCTCCTCCTTAGCCAGCATCAGGAAGAATCTGAAGGAAAAGGGTTTCCAAAAGCATTTTGGTCATGTGTATTTTCTCTAGAATAGACTTCCTTTCTTCTGCTTTCAAATTTGCATGGTAGATCTTACATCTGCTCTTCTTCTCTGACCGTACATGGGAAGATTATTCATCGATGTCAGTCAGTGAACATGCCAGCAGGAGAGGAGGATATAAACTCAAATCTACTGTGCAGCTCTGCTAGCAGACTTGTGACCTTTATGTATCTCCAAATGTTGCCAATGAAATGGCCCCTGAAGATGATTAAACGACAACACACCATATAGGCCAAATCTTCTCCTGCTTCACAACTCATTCAGTTCCACTAACGCCAATCTTTTTGGTAGGTATATAAGTGAGTGCAAAATTTGGCCCTGGGTCTCTAAATCTACAGTCAGCTATGTTAAACTGAGTGTTTGTTCATGAATTTCAGCCACTAAAGTATGCTCTCTAAGAGTAGATGATGTAACACGAAAAGCACTTCTGCACTGGAAATTCAATTAATTTGCAAATGCTGAACTCTTCTTGAAGTGGCAATAATAAGCTCGATTCTTCTGTAAAAGATTTAGAACAGGAAAAAATAAATATATTGATGCCAGCAGATGGTGCTCTTAGTGAAGTTGTAAAACCTTGTGACCTGATAACGGAGGGAGTCCTTTCCTTGCTATAGTCTATTGCATGCTTATGTGACCGCAGCTCTCTGTGCTCTCCACAGGAAAAGAAATTAAAATGAAAGGCAAATCAGTGCATTCCCAGATGTTCCCTTCTTTACAAGAAATAAGTGGAAAAAAAAAAAAAAAAAGAAAAAGAAAAAAGGGAAGTAGAGAAAAATGCCCCAAAAGCTGCAGAAAGAGGTGAGCACAGACTGCAGACTGCTCCCCCCTAGCCTGCCCCTGCTGCCCTAGTTCTGCAGAAGGGTGAGGGGGCTCTGTGTGTTTTGGAGTCATGCCAGAGGGCAGCTGTGCTCCACTGACACGCTCTTCCTCAGACACCTCAGATATTCCAGTAGATATTCAACCAGAAGTGAATGCTGCTTCAAGCAGCAGTAATTCCCATAGAGCCTTCTCAGAGGTTTTTGCTGCATTTACTGGCAGCATCACTGCAGAGAAGAAAGAGGTACCCGAGCTTATTGCAGACAGGCTGGTACCCGCAAGAGTCTTCTGGGAGACATGCAGCTACTATCAGGCGCTGCAGTAACCCAGAGCTTGATAAGACTGAATGTCCAGTACCTGTGTAGCCCCTTAAGCCTTCATGCCACAATTAGCAGTAAAAAGGAATTCGGTAACAGGAACCTTGCATAGTTCCTTTTACCCTCTTCCCTACACTTCCTGGATTTTTTTACATTGTAAAGAAATAGGCAAGATTTTATTATTGTTCTGGGGGAAAATTATGTTGTGCAAAGAATTACAGTAACATTTTGGTAATTTTCTACTTTGCTTGACAGAATTTAATAGGCACAAGCATCCCTTCACTAAGAATATCTAATCTTAGGAAACTACAGGGAAGTTTCTTTTTTTCCCTTGATCTTCTCTTTTTTTTTTTTTTTTTGCTAGAATACTTACTTCTAATAATTCTGGCTTCTCATTACATTTACCTGGTGTTTCTTAAACAGACAAAATTCCCAATCAGTTTTAGCTGATTAAGGACTCTGAGGTTGAGACTGTGGTCAGTAAGAAAGCTAACACTCGTAACGTATGTGTACTTCAAATGCCGCTTCTCATATATCACAAAAAATCCCACTTTTAGAATTAGAGTGGATTTTTTCATGCACTGTAAAATAACAACTTAAGAGAGTGAAGTGTGAGAATAAGAAGTATGTCCTACTCCTGATGACATGGACAGACTCTTCCTTCTCCCTGCAACACACCCATGAGGAGCCATACCATTTGTTTTGTACCACTGCTGTTCAGCAAATATCAAAACAAAAAGAAAAAAAAATCCACTCAAAAAGCTAAGGATGCCTAGAATGTCTTCTGTGGATCAATTCACCCATACTACAGCAAATGCACACTCATCCTTCTCAGAAAGTACATGAATAAATGTTACTCTTTAAAATGGATAAAGCACACGAAGCACCATCTGTCAATCTTCAGAACAAAACAACGACACACACACTCACTCCCCCCCGCCAATGGACTGCTAGAAGGGCTGCAGTTCGGAGGCACTGTTCCCTCTACATTGGTGTCCAGCGATGGCATCCTTACCTTCGGTGGGAATTCCTGTTGCTATTTACGTGGCCCCGGCCTGTGCAGCCTGGTGTAGGACACTTAAGAACATTTTCATGCATGGCAAGAACTTGACAAGGAGAGTAAGAGAAAACAGCAGAGTATGAAAACAAGAAAAAAAAAATCAAATCCCAGTATATATGAAACCATTTTAAAACAAAGCAGGATTCATTAACAACCAGCATTCCTCAAAATACACGTGACACACATAGCCAATAAAGCCTGATGAGGGAAGTAAGTATTGTGACCCTATGCTTATTAACACAGGGCAACAGTGAAAGGTATGGAGGTTACAGAACCTATAAACAAATACATCTCTGGTGCAGCAGTGGAGCAGAAGACACCCAACATCTTCTTTGAACAAAACTACTGAGCAAAGATCAACTCAACAGTAAAGGGTGAGCTAGCAACTGTACAATACAAAATTACAGACTAGAAAAATTCTTTCAGGAAATGTATGTATTCATAATACATAGCTTTATAAACACAGTATCCAACTCAAGAGCTGAAAATCTGCTCTTAAGTTACACTGGTAGAACACTGATTTATTTGAAACACACCTCAGTACAACCCTGAACAGAATTTAACCCTAACTATAAGGCAGCCCAATTTAGCTCGGGGCCAGTTCTGCCCAGTTCCACATAGATACATCACTCATATCTATATGATGAGCAGAACGGGTCCTTTAATTTTTTTGCTTGTATTTTCTAAAGATGTGAAAATTGTAATGGGTAGATTTTTTTTTTTTAAATACTAAGAACCAAAAAATAAGCACTTAAAAATTGAGGGATGGCAGGAAAAAAAAAATTGAAAAAGAAATAAGTGGTACAAGCTTAAGCAAGTAAACTGATTTACATCTGCATCCACCGCAAGCTGGATGGAAAACTTACTCCAAGTCTCCTCAGAGCAGTACTCCTCTAAATCATAAAGCTCATGCTATGAAGTGCCAAATTATCAAGAACTTTTTGGGAACACTGAAGAGTTTTTTATGACATGAGACATATCTGAATTCATGTCTTGAAGCTGGATGACAGTATATCACTGGATGGAAAAAGGCCATCCAGCCCTTGCAAAGTTCTGGTTTTCCCACATAAGTTAGTCTGGAAGCCTGTATTTAGTTCTCACTCGAAAAAGATCTAATAAAATCAGCAGACACCTTGACTGAGTTAAGAACTGAATAAAAGCTGTTCAGAGACTTGAGAATTAAACCATGTATACTCATTAAAAGATAACCATCATCATCATCATCATCACCCCAGCATTAGTGTGCTAAAATGTGTAATAGATTCAAAAGCTTTACTCTGAAATTCCTACCATTCAAAGCTGTTCTTGAAACATGCTTCACAAGGCCAACATCACAGAAAAAAAAAGATGAGCTCACCTTTTTCATTTTAGTAGGTACAAGAGCATGCAAACAGTTTAAAGCTATATTCTTCTTTGATTTACAAAGTCTTCTAAAGATTTTTTTATTTACCATTTGTAAAACTGATAGAACTTTGAGCAACCAAAAAAATATTTGTGTTTCAGAAAATTATGGGATCTTGGAAAGCAGATAAATTACTCTATTTGTTATACTGTATTCAGAGACCAACCAAACCACAGCAGAGTTTCCTAAAGCACTTCCTCATCCCTTTACTTCTGGAAGAAGCCACTGAACCATGGAAGAGGGGACTTGCTATGTCTGCTACTCTTGCAGTCCTAATCTTCCCCTAGTTTCCTGTCCATCAAAATCTACTTTGTTTTGGAAACTGGGGACCATTTTAGTCCTGACTGTCTTTACAACATTTCCTTTAGGATGTTGAAAATTCATTTAGGTGAAGTCTGTAAGTGCTGATGGACAGTGAGAATTTTAGGTCCGTATGTTTCAACTGAATAACTCCATTTTAAAACTGGTGTGAAAGAGAACTGAGCTAGACACTTGCCTGATGTAAACCAGCATAGAGTAATTAGCTTCAACAGTTGCTGATTCCATCAGCCAAGGAGGTGATTTCCAGAAACAGAGCCCTCTGCCTTCAGGATAATGTCCCTGAGCTCACACAAGTGAACCCCCTATGCAAAGAATTTTCTGCCATGGCAGGAAGCTCCACCCATGTGACTTACAGGAGATGTTTGCTCAAAATCCTGAGTTCTGTAGCTAAGTAAACAGCCAAATTACTATTTTTTATATGCAGTAGTTTAATATAAATTACGTTTCAGACACAACAGTAACAAAGGAAAGGGGTTGCAAGTTTTTCAGGAACAATTATTCCTGCACAAGACAATAAGGACAATTGATGTGACATTAGCACGCAGAAGTAAAAGCAGTGCACATCTTCAGGAAACCTTTTTCTCCGCTGACTGAATACATCTATTTAAAAATAACCTAGGATTCTTAAAATCAAAGAATACAGCTTTAAAAGTTGTTCTTTTAGTGTAAAGTTAGTAGAGAATGAAAATGATGGAATAAAGAAAAAAGTATAACACAGAACAGTTGACTAAGTTGAGACAAACCATACTGAAAAATGAAATTAATTTTTCAAATAAAAAGTTTAAAAAGCATGCTAGAAAAGTTTTTGTAGTTTTATCCCCACTTTCCATGAAAGAATGTGAACTTACTTTCTGGAGGGACCCTATCTTTGTGTGGGCATCCTGACAAACTGCGGTGATGGGGGTAAAGCCCCGTTACATGGCCAGTTCCATCACACCCAGGGGTAGGACATTTGCTCTCTTTCTTTTCTGTTCTTGAGGGATCTATAATTTACAACAAATGTGTCAAGTGAATGAGGCTTTTCACATTTCTGTAAGAAGGTTCATTTAATCATGTCATTTACTCGTTGGTAAATGTTATTATGAAACTAGAAGAAAAAAAAGCCCTCAACTTCTTATCACAGTTCTGTCACTTTTAACCTGTTATCTTCTTTTCAGACTTCAGGCTCCTATGATCACAGCAATATCCATTCACAGTGATTGAAAAATGACCTTTTTATAGCAAAGCCATATCATGTCAATCAATGTTCTGCTGCCAAGCATTAGCTCAAGGGTGTAAGGTCATTTGAAAACTGTTTAGTTGGAGTTTCCCTTCTTTACATTCTTATTTGTCTCATGTATTAAGGTCTGCAAATGTACTGTCATAGCAGTTCAATGTCGTGAGAATAGCAAACCCAACTCTTCAGCATAACAACTCCACGATGCAGCACAAATAAATCCCTTTTCCAAGGCTACACAAGGAAACAATTCTCGTTTTCTTTAATATCCTTATGAAGTGGTAAAATTAGGTAAAAATTCCTTTTTCTTCAATAAATTACGGTGGAGTAAACATTGTAGTCAGAATTACTGAATGTATCACTTGCTTTGTAAATCCGGGCCATTACAAACATTCAAATACAACATCTGATTATTCATATGCTAAAAAGGTTAATGACCTATTAAAATGTTGTTGGATCTTCCGACTATAAATCAATGAAAAGTTTAACTAGACATTTTTCAACACAATGAAGTTTTCTACCCATAATGTAGTGGAATGCTGGTGAGACTAATCTTGAACTAGAACATTCTCAAATAACTTCATTGGCATATTTCCTTTAACAGAACAACTGTAAAATAATATCCCTACCCTTCCAGCCAACCACATGATACAAATTATATGTTATCATCTTGACCACAGGTGCCACATTCTGGAGATGATTGCTGATTTTCATATTAGTATTAAAATTCAGGATCCTCAAACTGCTACTATTCTGGCTTAAGATCAACCAATATATTTTTTTAGTCCATCTTTCCTTTCAATACCCAGTGTAAGCTGTCCTCATTTAATTATTTTATGTTGCTCTTGTCTGCTTCAGTATTTATGCTTTCATCTTCAAAAAATAAGATTTTGCTAATTGTTATCCAGTAAGCCTTTCTTACGTTAAATTCCATCCCAGCTTCAACAAGCAGAACCCTCAGTATCATCAGTGGGAATTTCAGTACTTGCAGAATGTCACATACAACCTATTCTTTTCAGCATGAATCAATACAATCCAGAGTTCACATTCTGTTGTGGACTTATCTTTCCCTGATTTCCCTCTGGTAGCTTTTGCATATACTTTTATTTTTCAAGTTCTTCAAAAACACCTTCATTTTAGGGAAATTCTTTAGCTCATTGAAATGATCCTTCATGTCTTAAATCCATTCTTAAATTTTAATGTGATACTTAAACCTTGTCTTTTGCAAAGGGAATCTCTAATTATTAAGGTTTTATTTTACTTCACTAGCATGTTGACTGTAGAACACACTTATTTGTTTCATGCTTTTTGATGACACATGCAGATACAAATCTATCTCCAATGTGCTATACAATTATCACAACACTTCTGGAAACACCATTATCTTATATCTCAGGAAACTGAAGCAAACATATTGAGAAGTTATACCCAAGGCCACAGAAGGAGCAAATGTCAGAGAAGGGATTTGAATTCCTGCCAGATAGGCCTGTGCTGAGACCACTAGAACAGCAAGCCCACAGCTACATACATACACAACTCTAAGCAACTCATCAAGTCAAGTACTTTGGGATGCGTAAAAGTATTAGATAAGTGAACAGGTAATGTAAATGAAATATAAATTATGTAAATATAACAATATTCAAGGACTGCAAAAATGTAGATGATTAGTAGACCATAACGGCTTTTTAGAAACTTTAAACTAGAGAAACTTTAGCTACTCCACATTGTCAGAACCAATGAAAGTATTGGAATTTAGAGCAGCTGAGGATCTGGACACTTACATCCTACAGTGTCAAGCAAATGCTCCTCTGTATTCAAGTCCATGCTATAACGTTACAGCATATGTCAGATCCTTATGAGCCTTTATGGTCTAATGAGTCAGAAAAGATGCTGTATACTACTCTTAATGATTTCAAAACTTGCATAAAATTGCACTTGCACAATTTCCCATTGCTTTTAATGGAAGACATTTGAGTAAATTTTTCACAACTTTATACAAAACACTGGATACTGTTTTGTAAATCCTCTTCTGCTATTTGGGAGAAATATTGCAGTTATTTAACTCTGTAACCTTTCCTCACTCCTTGCCACAATGGAAGTATTCCCTGAGTGAAGGTTGCCAGAGGACTTTTAAAGGTTTTAAAATTCATAAATTTCAGAAGAAAGCCTGTTTAGAAAGCTTTAAATGGCAGGGGGGAAATGGTTAGTGGTCCCTTAACAGTTGTTTCAGTGATCTTTGAAAGCAGAACTCCTGAAGCCAAGAGGTAGTTCTCACTGCAAAGCTGTGTACCCAAAAAGTTTCCACTTAACCATATCATACATCTCTGTAGGTATCTCTTCCAGGAGTATTTGGAAAATAACATGTGAGTGGAGAACAAAGCAACTGTCTTACTAAAGCTTCCTCTCTCAATAACTACCAGAATTTTTCCATGCTTTTTTAAAGGGGATGTTTTTTTCGTTCTTCCTTTATTAAAAAGGTGAAGAATGATCCACTTCATAAAGTTTCTTTGTCCAAACTCCTGCAGTATTTAGTCCCTGGTTGAGGTTTGGACCTGTTATCAATTCAGCCCATAGTTCCCAAGGAGTAAGATGGTTCAAGAAGCTCTAGAATTTACTAAAATAGGAAGTCCATACATTTTTTTAATGTCAGAAAGTATATAGACTTTTTGGAGACAGCAGGCCCATATGCATACTTGTTTTCCCAGGCATATATAGACTGGAAGGACTAGACAATACCAGAGCTAAAAGGGTCTTCAAAAATTAATTTTGGTTTGCCACGTTTTCTGTGGTTTTATTAGAAACATATACTCAAAGGGAAATACATCTAAAAAAGGTCATATGTGAAGAACATTTAGCACAACATCCATATGGCTATCCAGTAATACACTAACTAAATAAAGTTGCCTTCCCCGAATAACCGAAGTTACTATAGCATACACTGGTTCATATATTTGTGGTTAGAACAAAAAAAATTCACTGAAATATATTGCAGCAGAGTCTGACATCAGAAATTTACATGCTTTTCTAAATGACTGATCATTACTGTTCTTTAAGGTTTGTAAAAAATTATCAAAACCTTTTGGACCAAGATGTTGTCTGCCTACATGAATGTCACAAGCAGATCACCTTTTCAAAAACAGGGATTTATAAAAAGGAGAAAAATGCCCACCATCTCAATTGTAGAAAAGAAATCAAATATTTTTACAACAAATATAAGATGAACCCAGTCCCTGCTTGGCATCTCCCAAGAAATACCATGCCCTTAACTTCCACTAAAGTCAATGGGAATCAGGGGTGTTCAATGAATCTCAGGAGGTATTGAACACTTCATACAACACAGCCCTATGTGTATAGATGTAGACACGTTAAAGAGGGGTGTCATAATATAAATACACCATCACTATGATAATCCTGCAAATTAAAATGCATTCTAAAGGTAACCTTTAGTCTGTTCTTTTTTCTTTTTTTTTTTTTTTTTCCTTTTGTATTGAATTATGGTCAAGGCAGCACCTTAACTGTTTCCACAATGGAATGAAACCAGTGAAGTGGAATGCACATAAGAAAGAAATTACTATTGATCTCAGCCCAGGCCACACCATGCCTTGCATAGCAAATGGTTTCCATTACCTTACTATCTTAAGATAATTAATGTGCAGTCACTGCCCCTATCTTATGTTATCGGTCATTTTGATACTGTTCAATTTCTATCAGGGAATTCTACATTTTAGATGGGAGAGGCTTCATCAATAACTGTCATTTGATGATAATTTTATAAGTCATGATGCCACCTACCCAATCCAATCTGTAATATATGCATTTCATAGCTGATTGACTACCTGTTACAAAACCCCCCTCTCCAATATAGTTTGCAACACAATTCCCTTGTTTTTTAATTATTACTATAAAATATATTAAAAACTTTAGAAAAATCTTTGCCTCTTTCAACATGATCTCTTATCTGGTTTGTTTCCCTGAGAAGTTACTTTTTTAATTTAGCCACTGATATACTGTACATATTTCTAATACTGCAGAATGAATACTTTCATTTTATAATCATAGCATGATGTTATTTTACAAACATGTCATACGACAATTTCAATAAAGTTCCCATTATGTAGAATAAATAATTTCATTTCAGAAATCTATGCACAAACTTAACACACGTTAGTTTACACTTTCCCATGACAAAACATACGGTATATAGAAATATTACCTTTACCATAATATGGCTTTTTGACATGGCCGTCACTGGGTTTAGGCTTCCTGTCATCTCCAGAAAGGTGTCTTGGAGACTGTTCCTCAAATGATCTCATATTATCCCTCCTTCCAGCTTCCACTGCCATTTTTTCTCTCATGGCTTTTGCTCTCTCAGTTTCCAAAGCAATTGCTTTCTCAAGCAGGGTTAAGTTACCTTTTGTCATATCAAACACTTCTTCAGACCTATCTGAAGTAATAGAGGTGGTATCATCGTCTCTTTCATGACAACCATCCTCCTTGGCACAGCTAGAAAAAGTCCTAGATCTGGGGCTCAACTGTTCTTCAAGCCTCATTAGGTTCATCATATCAGAGTAATTCCGGTCTGGTGTTCTTCCTTGGAAGTCATCTTCTTGCCTGACATGCTGACGAGTGTTCATGTTTTGCTGTTGATTTCTTTCCTGTGGGTTTGTCTCACTCAGTTTCCTAGCCAGATCAAAACACTGGTTCCTTAAGCACTCCAAACTGCTGAGACACACCTCTTCATCACTCTCCTCCACTATTTTTTCTGTAAGTCCATTGTTCACAGGCTTCCCTAGCATTACAAAGTTCATATTCCTATTATCTTGTTGTGAAGTATTGTCTGCATAATTTCTGTCATTAATGTTTTCTGAGAGCACTACACCATGTCCTTGTGCTAACAATTTAAGGGAGTCCACTGTTTCCCTAACAACATCACTGTCTAAATCTAAACTCAGCTCACTTTTCCGACCGATATTTTCATTTTTGTCACTATCATCTTCCAGACTATTAGATGTATTGCTGTTCATTTCTGATTCTGTCCTGGCTCTGTATGCTGCATCCTCTGCAATTTTGCCAAGATTTAACAAAGACTTGGCCACCAGTTCATCGTAATTATCATACTCATCATTATTGTTATCGTCTTTTTCTGTGTCTTGCATTATTCGAGTATTGTGACAATTCATTTGATGGTCTTCTGCATAAAAAATAGAAACAAAGAAAGAAACAAAGAAAGAAAGAAAAAGGAAAAGAAAAGAAAAAAGTGGCTACAATTGGAACTGTTGTTGCAATCGCACGGACAGAAAACAAACTGCATGTCAAATATTGTTAATCAAACAGCAATTCTATATAACACTATGCCTGGCCCATGTGAACTGAATTTCTCTATAGTCCATATAATGCTATTTTTGTTTATTTGCTATTCACATGAATTTCTTTCACAGGACTGATAAGAAACAGGCAATGAAAATGTTAATTATACTACTGCTAAAAATTATGCCATAAATACTTATGTTTCTCCTTTGCTTCTATATTCACAGTTTTATGGGGCTTATTACAATGACATTATTCATATGACATAATCGTCTATGTTTCCAACTTTTCTCACTCCTGTATTTCCTGTAAATATGGTAGATGGCAAAGGAGTGAGTACTACTGGATTTATTCTCTTACTGATGAACACCATTCACCAAAAGAGAAAGAGTAAACACCAAGCAGGAAAATGTACCTTTTTTAGCACCATACACACCATTAACACTAGATGACCAATAACTACACACAAATATTAAAATGGCATTTTACTTGGTGGATCCATCAGTAGAAATCAAAATCTTTCAGTTCAACTGTGAAGAAGTAAGAATTTTAAAAGAGCTGTTACATGAAAGGAAGACAGAAGCAATTATATGCACAATATAATTTGAAATAAATATGCTAGTCCAAATTATATGGCTATAATATATGTATGATAGGGCTGTTATCTACGATCCTATGTACTGTAAAAAAAGGATGCAGAGTTACCACATGTTGCTCAGCTTTGTGTTAGTAACTGTTGAATAACAGAGGGACAGCTCAGTAAGATGGAGCCAACATGAGGCCCAGAGGGTGAGATTCATCTCATCTAACTTTAGACATGAGCAAGACAGGCATCTATATCTGAGTAAGCTATTCCACGTTGCCATCCTTAGTCAGTAAGAGAAGCAGACACTTTAAGGACAGGGCCCACCCGATCTGGTTAAGATTATCTTATTGAGAATAAAACGAATAACCACTAAAAGTGCCTGCTTCTCTTCATTGACAACAAAGGGACTCAGACTAGATGCCTATCTTAAAGACATTCAGATTTGGTCAGATGAATATCATCCAGAGAGCATTTTCTTGTATCTTATGTTCACTCAGAAGTTATGTCATTCTTAGACCCATTCTTAAAACAAATATACATGCATTGTTACTTACTAATGAACGTCTCATAAGTTATACTTTGATAATTGGCTACCCAAGTAATATTTTAACATTTTGCATCACAACTGGAAAAGAAAGATCCTAAATCTATCATTACAGTGACATGCTAGGCCAGTTTTTCAGCTGGTGCAAACTGAAAGAAATCATCAGAGCTGGGACAATTAACACCTGCTCAGGAGCTAGTCCATCAACTTCTGATAGAATCTTTTCAGCTTAGATGTATTTTCAACACTGGTACACCTAAACGTAGCATTTTCTAAAGTGTAACTCTTTCCCAGTGTGGGAAATTTCAGGTACTGGTTGGCTTGAACACTAACATTTTGATAATAGGAAATAATGTTTGATAAAAATAATTTTAAGCCAGTGGACAAGATGATAAATCAGAGTTTTAAATACAAAGCTCAACAGCACAATAATTAATATTTCAGCCACAAGATAGTATTCCTTCTACACAGTGGTTAGGGATCCTGGGATGATAGTAGGCTGTAGTTAAGCAGCAGAACTGGTTGATGACTAGGCTACATCTAGAGAAAAAAAAATACTCTAATGGTAAAATATTATACCATATCTATTATCTACTTTAATACAGAGGAAAGATAATTCACAGGGAAGACTGTAGGGCATTTTTACATTACAAGATATTACAAGTCAATAGTGGGTTATCTATTTAACATAAAAGGTGGTCTTATTTTCTTTTCTGTTTTTCCCAAGATCATAATAACTCACATTTATGTTTCAGTGCCACAAAAATTAAGTATTACAGAGTATCAGATTTTCAGTGGAAAAGTAAGGATTACCACTTACACTTCCTATTTGAAAAAAGTCCATTTTGAATAACTGCATAGAAGGTAGCAATGAAGGATTATTGGATAATTAATTTGTGCTATTTGAAAAGTAAGAGTTTTAATACACTAATAATAATTTCTAAAGTGAAATGTACAAACAAATCCCACATTAGTTTAAATAATAGGATAAAACCTGACGCCAGGAAGATTGTTCAGTAGAAACTGCTACTTTTGTGGGGTACTTCTTGTAACTACACCTGATGGGCAGTCAGAAGTAGCAAAGAAACACCAAAGTAGTCAAAGAAGCAGCAAACTATAGCTCCAAAATTGCCAGTGCCTTCAACTTTAGGATGAGGTATCTACAATCACTGATAAATCAGTCCAAATCTAGCTCTAAAACAATGCTGAAATACAGAGTAGAAAAAGCCCTTATTTTCTCAAGTCATCCTGAGAACTGCTCAGGTATGTAGTGACTTTTCTAGGCCAACTTTTGAATTGTGCAAAGTTTTCAGGGCTTTTTTTTTTTTTTAAAGATGGTTTATGTTTTTACATGAATAAGAGTCACGTAAATTATCACCAATGGGAGGAATATGTTATACTTTGCCTCCACAAGTGAAAAGTCAAAATATGAGTCATGTACTACATGAGAGAAGACATCTAAATTCCTTTTGAGTAGGGAAGCTCGGTGAAAGCTGTAACTATAGTATTTTTTATTCCAATGTTTGGTTCTATCCTTTTCAGTATGTGGTGGAGGAGAAGAAAGTGTTAATCCCAGATGAGAGAGGTGGGAAAACAAAATATTTAAACTGAGTTTCATTTCTCCTCTTTTAATTTTTGGCCTTTTCTTGCATCTCCTTTCTTTAACAACTATTTTGCTCATGTTTCTTATCTCCATACAACAGTTAATTTTCATGAAAAGCATATTTATGCACGCCATGTCATCTCAATAACGGTTGGATTTTGAGCTTGCTCTGGTGAGGCAGCTGTATCACCTGTTTACTAAAATGAAACTTTAAATAATCAAAACCTGTTTGTGTATTAATTAAGGGACTCCTGAAAAGTATGTTAGATCAGCAGCTCTATGTGAGCCTATATGCCTTTTCTTTGATTTAGTTCTGTAAAATCTAATCTCTCTTTCATTTCACATTTCTGTGATTCCTAAGATTTAACCTTTAATTTGTAACTACCTTTACACTGTGCTGTTTAATGGCTGTCTGTTAAATGACTGTAAAACACACAGAACTAGAACACTTACTCCACCCCTTGCATAAATTTCGGAACCAGTGACACAAACTGAAGTTTTTCATTTGGTGAAGATGCTGAGTTGTCTCACAAAGACACAAGTTAGCCAGTTTAGGTGAAGAATGCTCAAAGCTGATACACCCTTTTTCTGTTAGCTTTAGGGTTGCATGGACACAGAATTCACAACACAGTTAAAAAAGAATATCAGATTATTTTACCTCTCATCCACACAGTACCATGACAATTTAGGTACTCTTCATTGCAAAATTTGTTCTTTTTAACTCCCAGTGGATATAACAAATGACAGGAGGAAATTATAGTGAAGAATAGTGTAGAATAACTACAAAGAGTGGAAGCCTCTAGCCATCTCAACAGAAGTGCACTCGTTGCACTAAAAAAAGTGAATAATTTGGTTTCTTTTTGCACCTTTCATCCAAGGATCTCAAAGCACTTTACAAACATTATTTTAAAAAGCCTCACAACACCCCTGTGAGGTAGGTATTTTAACCCCATTTTACAAATGGGAAATTGAAACACGGAGTTGAGTGACTCTTTCCATGTCATACCAAAAGTCACTGGAGAATAAGGACTATAGCCTCTACATCCTTGATTGTTTCCTCCTTTTGTTCCTATCATACCCATATTTAACCCACTTTTTGGCAGAAGAAATGACTTGCTGTTTTTAGTGCAGGGAGTCATGCAAAATAGCACCTCCCTTTGGAAAAGGAAAATATACAGCATTTAGACTGAGAGATTCTGCAGAGAGAGGCAATGATGCTTCAGTAATAGCAGCTACATTCCTACCAAAGGACAAAGATTTCAGAAACAGGGCTTTTCAGATCTTTGGTTCATGTATCAAATTACTCACTTTCTCCCAAGCACAGGAAAACACGATGGCTAAGAAGCTGAACCTATATGTGGTCACACAGGCTGCCCAGATGGATGGTTTCATTATCCAGGCAGTGTTGCCTGCTTTAAAACACCTCACTGCTCTTGCCACTGCTCAGCATAGGATACTACTGCAGCACCATTTTCCTCCCTTTGAGCTGTAATGTGAGGTGCAGGCACACATCTCCACATTACAATCTATGATAACTGGCCTGTGAGAAATATTTAGCATTACAACACTGACACAGATGAATCCCAAATCTCAGAAAGTCACAGCATCACATGGGGTGGGAGGTTGTACGTACATTGCCTTCTCCTCTGGGAAAATCTCATGAGTAAGGAAACTCAAGGGATGGAAAACTCAGTGAGCTCTCAACTTCTTCACCCAGAAGAAATAGAGCACTTGTGTAACCCTCCAAGGACCTAAGCAAGGTCTCCTAAAAGTCTAAACAGTCCTGCTGACACACGGTCTGGATCAGAGCCCAAGCCTTTATGCCTATTTCAGGGACACACTGAACACTGAAGTTGACCTGGGCACGAAGAATCTTCTCTTCATCTCTGCAAAAGTCCCTGAAGTTCTTTTACTCTATAGGTAAAGTAACTTGTTTTTATAGTACTTGGTTCCTTTATGGACTTTATATAACTAATGAAAGTCAAAAGAAAAAGACAACTGTTCACTTAGTTACTTGATTCACTCTAACTATTCCATCATATCTCATTTTTTTCCACTTGCCCCCCTCAGCCTGCTACAGCTACTTACAACTGTTATAATAACGGGATTTACTGTTTAGACTCTCTTACTATAATGATAGTATTCAACTAA